CACAGCCAGCCAATCAGAACCCACAGAGTGCAGGGGGGGGGTGTAGTAGGGATTGAAATCAGGTCACTACTGCTAGGCTACCTCTCAGCCTCTTTTCAAATTCAAAACTTTTTAGGAGGATATTGCCAAGTTGCTTAGGGCCTTCCTAAGTCGCTCAGGGCAGCCCTGAACTTGCTATCTTCCTGCCCCAGCCTGCGCAGTCACTGGGACTGCAGGTGGACCAAGCACCAGCCAGTGTTCTTTTCAATGACCAGATAAAGAATAAATAACACAGACTCGGGCCCTTTCCCCGAGTCTGCACACCGACTGACGCGGACTGTGCTGGGTGGGCTTCCCCGGGTCCGGCGCAGGGAGTCCGGGCTCGGCGCTCCCCCGGGCGGAGGCTAGGAGGCAGGCTGACTCTTCCTGCACTTCTTGCTGCCGTGCGTTTTCTGGTGCCCGATGAGGTGCGAGCTCTGGGTGAAGGCCTTGCCGCACTTCTTGCACACGTAGGGGCGCTCGCCGGTGTGCGTCCTCTGGTGCCTGATGAGGTGCGAGCTCTGGCGGAAGGCCTTGCCGCAGTGCTGGCAGGGGTAGGGCTTGGCGCCCGTGTGCGTGCGCAGGTGCTGCGAGATGGCCGAGCGGTCGTTGAAGGTCCGGCCGCACTCGCGACACTCGAAGGGCCGCTCCCCGCTGTGCACCCTCTGGTGCTGCGTGAGCGAGGAGCTCTGCACGAAGCCCTTGCCGCAGTCCCGGCACACGTAGGGCCGCTCCCCGGTGTGGATCTTCTTGTGCACCGAGAAGTACCTGGGGTTGCGGAACACCTTCCCGCACTCGCTGCAGCGGCACACCTGGCTCCCCTTGTGGATCCGGATGAAGGTGATCTGCAGGGCCCGCCGGCCGCCGCCCTTGCCCCCGGCCTGGCCCCCGGCCATCCGACAGCCGCTGCCCGCTCCGGCTCGCCCCCTCCCACAGCCCCTCTGGTGTGGCCTCCCCGGGGAGGTCGCGGGCGCCGCACTGGTCACCCGAGGGCCCTGGGGGCGTGGGCGCCTTCTGGGAGGGCCTTTCCGGGGCACGCCGTGGCTCGGGTCAGGTCCGGCGTCCGCCCGAGCTCCCGGAGCTCGGGGGCCTTCAGGGAGCTGGTGCCGAGAGGGGCCCTTCTCCTGGGCAGGCTCCACTCGGTTCCCGGTGGCCAGGGCTTTGGGGACCCCACCCTGTGAGACAGCAGTTGAGGGGGAGGACTGGCTACCTTCTCCTGAGGACTCTCTCATTCTGGGGTCAGGAAGTGCTTTCTCTGCAGGAACAGCAGAATCTGGAGCTAACTCTTTGCCTTCCGGCGTCCTCTCCCACCCTGAAAAAAAAACAATAGATTGTGGATGCTGCAGAGGGAAAGCGCCGGGATGGGATCCACAATGTAACTGAAGTCTTCCAAAGTCAGGGGACATCTCCCCCAGCGCCGCCATTAACCCTGGGAAGGCCTCTGAGAAGCTGTGTGGGACCAGAGGCGAACAAGCATCCGCTCTCTGGCTGCCTTGGGGCAGGTGGCAGGTCAGAAGAGCCTGCTCTGTGCTCTCCATCCAGTTTCCACCCCTTCAGGCCCACAGCTCCAGTGAAAGGTTCTGGACCAGGCAAGTGAGGCTCCTGGGATGTTCCTGTTGGCGCAGGGCTGAGAGAAGGCAAGGGTCCTGCCCTGGGGCCCCTGTGGTATTGTGAAGGTAGGTTCCGCTCACCTACTGAGACCAGGTTCCCAAAGGTCTCCAGCATCACATCATGGTACTCAGTCCTCTGTGTCGGGCCCAGCAGCCCCCATTCCTCCCGGCTGAAGCCCACAGCCACATCCTGGAAGGTCACAGGCTCCTGAAATACCATGCATGTGTCTGCTTAGGAGGACTGGGGTCCAGCAGGACAGCAGAAAGGCCAGCAGAGCTTATGGCACTTGGGATTCCTCTGCCTTGGTGGTTGGCTCAGAGACAGCAACTGCAGGCCCACCAGAGGTCCACAGGGACCTCCTCACAGATGAGCTCAGAGCCCCAGCTGTAAGGCAGAGCCATAAGCAAACCAGGGTCACTGTGCCATAGGCCTTCCCCATGGGGGGACTGGCTCCTGCCTCTGTGGACCGTCTCGTCTGGGTGTGCATCCACCCAGCCTTCCACGTCAGTGCTTTCTGGGGAGCTGACCAGGACTCCAGGGTAAGAAGCTTCCCTTGCTCCCTGGGCCTGGACCTGAGAGGTACTCTGCCCAGATGGAGCAGAGCCTATCTGGGAAAGAACGGGAAAAAGCAGAGCCTTGAGCTGGGCTGGTCCAGACCCTTCCCACCCCCTGGACAGCCCTGCCTGAAGCCTACCCGCGATGGCTCATCTCACCAGATGATGTGTTACCTGAGAGCCAATGAATCCATTCACATGCTTGAGAAAGCCACTCACAGTGCGAACAGGACTGACCCCCCTCTGCCTTCCTACACACCCAGACTGCGGGTGGTTTCAGAGACCAGCACACTCCCACAGGCTCAGGAGCAGGATGGTCCCAACCAATGGGACCACCTCACAGAGATGCTGAGATGCGAAAAACGGGTGAGGTCTCCACTCACCTCATTCGGCACTGCCTCTGGACAGATGGCCACATCCTCCTGTTCCTTCTCCTGCTGAGCAATGACCTCTGGACAGCAGGCAGGCCCCTGGACAGGGAGTCCTGGGGGAGACAGAGCATGAGGGGGCTGGGGATGAGTGTGGATCCTCTCCCAGGGACAGCTCCCTGCAGTCCACAGGCTGCTGCCCGCTCACATACCAGTGGGTCTCCTCCCGCCTCTCCTCTCAGTCAGCAACTCCTCACAGCTTGTGACCAAGACCCCTACCTGGATAGGTCCAGATGTGTCATTCTGCATGACCACGAGAACCAGTGTCCCCACTGAGACACGGTCTCAGTCCCCATCTCCAAGGATTGTTTGGGGACCTAGCTTGTCTGGAGATAGTCAGCTTCTGCCCAGCTCATGTGGACCCCTGTCCCCTTTTTCTTCTCTGGTTGCCTAATGAAAGGCAGGTCTACCCAGCCACAGGCCATGCCCCACAGCCCTCCCAACCACAACTCTTTCATGTCTACCTTCCTCATGTGTCCCACTGCCACCAAGGAAGGTTCACAATGTGACCCAGGCTGGCCCCCCAGGCTGCCTCCCACAGAGAATAATGTGGGATGAACATGGAGCCCACAGCCAGCCAATCAGAACCCACAGAGTGCAGGTGACATGGGACATGGAAGAGAAGATGGGTCTAGAGGATCTACTGGAGCTCCTGGCTCCTGGCCCTTCCTTGTATCACCCGGGCAGTGTCACAACAGGTCCCTCCTGACTCACAATTCTAAGGTCAGTCTTGGCGACTTAGTGACACACTGACTCAAAATGAAGAAAAGAGACAGAGGCAGAATCGCCTGGGTTCAATCCCTACAGCAAAACATTTGTTAAAATAGAAAAAAAATCCCGACAGGGCCTAAGGGCCCTAAGCCGCAGGCCAACTTGGCCCTCTCTTCCGTTCCACCATGAACCTTCCAAATCTCTCCCTGATGTCTGCATGCCGCACTGTGGTCACATCCATCTTGTCCCATTTCTCCACCTGCTCAGGTCCCAGTGTGTGCCACCTTCTGTGATTCCCATCAGCACCCTGACCATTCTCCACCTCCCACCGTCTCCCACCTGTTACTTCCCCTACCTCTCCTGCTGGACCACTGGCTCAATCCTGCCCGCCTCAGTGACCCCTTTATCCACCGCTCCTGGACAGCTGAGAGCTCCCAGGAGGATGAACAGAAAGCACCTTGTCTGTGAACTTCTGCAAGAAGCTTGTGGAAGGACTGCCAGAAGGCAGTGCCAAGCCCCACAATGGGATTCCAACAGCTTTGATTCGTAACTTGGGGGACACAGACACCTTGGTAGATGGTCTAGGAACAACCCTCTCCCCATCCTTCCCAAGAGGGCCGGAGCTCTACCTCCTGTCGCTCCAAGAAACCCTTGCAGAGGTGTCCCTCACCTTAGCCATCCGTACACTCACCTTCCTCTACCGACAGCAAGGTCATGTCCTCCACCAGGGCTACGGCGGCCTGGCAGTTCTCAGGATGCTGTGACTCCACCCATGTCCGGAACTTCTCAGGCAGAGCACCCAGAAACTGCTCCAGCACCAGCAACTCCAGGATCTGCTCCTTGGAGCGTGCCTCGGGCCGTAGCCACTCACGACAGAGCTCACGAAGTCGGGCCAGAGCCTTCTGAGGGTCAGCTGACTCCTCATACTGGAACTGCCGAAACCTCTGGCGAGCAGCTTCAGGGTCAGCTGGATGCCCACCTGTCTGTTGGGCTGGCTCCCTGAGGATGCCTGGGCTGAGTTCCCCCTTCTCAGCATAGAGGGCCTGGATCTGGGCATTTCGGGGACCAGCCATCTCCTGGTTCAGTGTGAGGACCTCAACCACCCTGATCTTCGTGAGGGGATTTTCAGCAGGAAGAGACTTCATCTGAGGGCCCAGTGGAACTTTAGGACATTCTGTAAGTCCAAAGTACAAGACAAATGGCTAACAAGAACTTGAAAACGCAAATGAAAATCACAGTGAGGTATGACTCCACACCCACTAGAATGGCTACTGCCAAGAGATGGACCACAGGCCTATACACCTAGTTCAGTGATAGAGCACCTGCCAAACATGCACACGGCCCTTGGTTTGATCCTAGGACTGGGGAACTCCTCCAAATACCAGTGAGGATACACAATGCCACACCACTTTCCATAGCAATCTATTAGCTCCTCAAAAAGCTAAATATATAATCATCATTAACTCAAAAACTACCCTTCAACTTACATTTAAACATAAGAAACCTGAAAATCTGTGTTTGCAAAAACTTATATGAGCAGTACTGTTCCTAACAGCTGAAACGTAGAAATCACTCCTGTCCACCAGGTGACAGAAGTACAGAGGCTCCCTGCCTGCTGACAGGATTACGTCCTGATAAATCCATGTGCATAAGAAGCATCCAAGTAAAAAATGCATACAGTACAACTAGCCTATAAAAATGTCATCTCACAGTTTCCAACAAGCTGGAAAAAAAACAATCGCCAGGCCAAATGACCATCAAACCCAGGACCACATGCACAAACTGTGATCTACACAGCGGGAGGTCTAGCAACAAAAAGGGCTGGAGGACTGTATGTGACGTGACACTCACCAACCTTGACAAGGCTGGACTGAGAAGGAAGCAGATGCAACACCATGTGCTGGTGAACCAGCTGTATGAAATGCACAACAGGCGTGCCTGCTCTCAGCTGTACCACTTGACATGTGTCCTGGATATTCACCTCACCCGACCGAACAAACTGGAAAAGACAGCAGTGGTTTCACTGCAAATACCCAGGTTATCAATTTCATGTAGGGCTCAGCCTCAGTATGGCATGTGGTACACAAACAGGAAGAGACACTTTATGTTCCTTACTCAGTGGGATCCCGTCAAGTTAAGTTTCCTTCTTTCCGTCAAGTAACTGAGAGGTAAAGGCTGATAATTTGCCTGCACAGATCACATTCAAAGGGTCCTCTCCCATATGAGTCCTCTGATGTGAACACGAGAACTCCTACTGAAGAGGCCCCCATCTGTGTTCACGTAACAATCCTCATCAGCACACCTTGCTACACCCGAAGCCTTCCTTACATGCTTCCATGTCCAGTAGGACTTGTGATGCTTCGGGGATTGTCCTCAGCAATCAGGTCCTCATGGTGTCACAGCTCTCAGGTGTAACTAGTTGGTGTTAAAAACTTTTTTCAACTCAACGAAACTGTGGTTTTTGCCCAGTATGAATTCTCTCAACACAAGACATTAGGCAATAAGCCTTTCCTGCTGCCACTGCACTCCTGAGAATGCCGTTTCTTCCCTGTGAGTTCTCAGAGACACTCTTTGGAAGACTTCTACCATCCAGGGTTGTTATAAGCATCCTTTTTAGTCTTCTCTGTTAAGGATGGCAATCTGAGCTGAAATTGGGCTTTCTCACACCCAATGCATTTATTCCATCTTGGTTTAAACCTTTTTTTTAAATACAAAACTACTATATTCTACTGATTTTCTACATTCTCCATGTGTAGGAGAATGAAAATGTGGGAGAACAGAATGGCATTCCCTGCAGTACTTCTCTCCCAGAAGTGATATGGCCATGCCATTCTAAACTCCCACATCCCAATTCTCCGGTATTCACACTATAGCCTGTGGGATCCCCTTAGGCTACACAAAGGATGAACCCCCCCCCCAAATTTACCTTTCTTTCTTACTGCTCCACAAGGTCTCATATAAATTATTACTGTTTTTAAGCTGGTGTTTGTTGTATGTTTGCAAGAGCTGATACTTTCACATTTGTAGGGTCTATTTCCTGCTTAATTTCTTAAAAAGTTGAAAATGTGTGTTCTGCAGGCTTTTCTATGATAGTCTCTTCTCTGCACTAGTTTCCTAATGATTAGGTCTCGTTTATCTCTCCCATGTTTCACTGAGAACTGTATGTATGGTAATCCTTTCCTGATGGGGTGCTCAGTGAGAGCTGATTCCCGCAAATGCCTTACCTTCATAGCATACTGTCCAATTCAAGGCTTTCCTGAGGGCGAATGCCATGTTTTAGCATTTACCCCATTTCTCTTCTACTTCAACCACCAGAACCCATGCTGCCACTCACTGGGCTTTGATTGAAAGCTGAGAAGCATGCAGGATGAATTGCCAAAATGGGCTAGTTTTGTGTCCAATCCCAGTTCTGTGCATTAACAAGAGCTTATGGCCGTGAAACTGCTGGGAGAGAGCTACTGCAGGGGATGCCATTCTAAACTCCCACGTGTTCATGAGCTGCCTCGACCCACCTCTGAGGTTCCAACAGGTGCATCCAACTGGTTTTGCAAACCTCTCTGGCTGTCTCTATGGCCCCTTCCGTTAATATTCCATTTACAGAACCAGGAAAGATGTGAGAAAGTTCAGACTTGAATCAAGGTGGAAGCTACTATTAATTCTCTGTATAATTTGCTTAAAATTATTTCAACATGAAAAGAAAAAAAGCCTGTATTGCAACTCTGCAAAATCTGTATCTTCAGTCTTTCCCATGTAAACGGCTAATGCCAAAAGTTTGAGTAACTTTTCTCCTTGATCATATTTTATAAACAAGATAGTGACACATATAAAGAGAATGCATGCAGTATACACAGTCCCCCGCAAGTCCCTCGCCTCTGAAAGCCTCAGCAGCCTTCCTTTGTCTCTCGCAGCCGCTAGCCAGCCCTATGCACCTACCCATCTATCACAGGCCAGCATTCTCGCCTCTCCCCTGATTCTGCTGTGGCCGCCTCCCGCCTTCTTCTCCAACTACCCAGAGAAAGCTGTGAAAAGTCAGCACTCCCTTGCTCAAGGATGAAAGTCAATTCCCACGCACAGCTAACACAGCTAACGAGGCCTGTGGACTCTGCCAAGTTTAACGTGCATGTCTTTATGTCCCAGTCACCATCACCGGCACACTAGGCAGCTGTGTGTTCCCTGAATATGTCCAGCCTGTTCCATCTCATGGTCATCTCAAATGGCATCCCTCTGCCTGCCTGAAAGTTCTTTTCACCATCTTTTTTTTTTTTTTCCCCAAAAAGTGATACAGGGGTACTTTACCACTGACCTACATCTCCAATCCTTTTTAAGAAATTTATCTTGAAACTGGGTTTCCCTAAACTGCCCAGGTTGGCCTTGAACTTGTGATCCTCCTGCCTTGCAAGTCACTGGGATTACAGGTGTGCATCACCACATCCAGCTGAGCTGATGCTGCAGTCTGGCTGGGCACAAAATAACCGAGCCGCCACACAGCCTAGGTTCAAACAGCAACCTTTATTCTGAAACTCTCACTGGCACTCTACACACCCTTCCCGGGAACACACTACCTCCACCTGGCTCCACACGCCAATTCTCTCAGAACCCCATGAGAGAACTCAATGGGAACTCCAAAGTAGCCGGCACCCCAGGCAGCAGGATCTGCCCTAATCCTAGCAGGATCCGCCCTAATCCAGGAGCAGGGTCACCTTTCAACCATTCCTTCTGGCAAAAATGCCAGGGTCATTCTGACTAAACTGTGGCTCTCAACAAGCTGATTTCCTCAGGCAAAGAATGTAGACATGAAAGGTGAAGCTGAGTGCAGTGGCCATGCCTGTAATTCCAGTCACAAGTACAAGGTCAGCCTAGACATCTTAGTGAGACCCTCATAACTTAGCAAAATAAAAAAGACTCAGGGTGGGGGGACTGGGGTTTTAACTTAGTGGTACAGCACTTGCTTGGCAAGTGTAAGACACTGGGTTCAACTCTCAGAGACACATATGAATAAAATAAAGATCCATCGACAACTAAATAAAGTAACAACAATAATAATACACATGCACATACATGTATAAATAAATAAAGTGCCCCTGACTTCAATCCTGAAGTCCAAAAAAAAACCAAACAAATAATTTCACCCCTGCAGTATACCAATTAGCTCCCTACAGCAATTCCTCATGGTTCCTCCTCAGTGCCTCCCACAATGTACCATATCCGCATAGTCTTTTCATAATCTATGGCAACAAGGTTTGGTTTATGTCCCACCTGTTCAGTATACTATATGTGACAGAACAGGTCCTCAGAGTAAGAAACGGGGAGGGAAGGAAGCATCTCCTAAAGAACTCTGTGACACAGCAAAGGTCACTTTGGCACCTCTTATCTCAGGCCCACTTGAAAGCCAGCTGACCAGCCTCCGCTCACAGGTCTCCTTCCCTGGAGCACCACTCAAGCTCTCTACAGTGTCTCTGTGGCAGCCAGCCTTGGAGCTATTAGACCATCCAGAAGAGTAGTCAGGAGGTTTATCCATGCAGGACAAAAGAGATGAGCTGTCCCAGCCAGAGCACAGCCAGAGCCACACAGACAGGAACACAGGTTAATAGGCTGGACACCAACACAGGAGGTACAAAACTGCTGGGGGTTTTGGGCAGGTAAGGTATGATTTGGTGACCAGTGCTAATAGAAAGGATATTTGCAATGAAGGGAATGAAAGGAAGGACTGAATGGAGGAAAGAAAATAGAAAACCACTGAGCCATAAGTTCTAACAGGGAGAAACCAGAACTGGGTTCAGAAAAAGAAAGAGTGGCATCACAGATGCCAGCTTCGTCTTGTTGGGGCAAATAAGTCATCAATACAGAGAGGAACAGCTGGAGATTCCACAAACACTGGCACAAGCAGAGGGTTCCAACACACTTACACCACAGCAGAGAGGAGACATAGCGGAAGCCCCCAGAGTGCTCTAGAGCCGGCATCACAAAGGGAGAGGGGATGTGGCAGCAAACGGTGAAGAGAAAACTACCGCCCAACCCAACCTGAGCATATCAACACACCAACACAAGTGGGCAGCTCCAGCAGCAATTTACATCATGCATTTCTGTGTCATCCTGGAAGGCTCTGGAAGGGAAACTGGGGATATGCCAGAGGATCATTCACTAGAAATGGCTAAAAGACCATTCATCCATATAAAAACTGATTTAAAACAAAGCAGAATCCAGCCCTGTGCTCACCAGAACTCAGATGGGCACCTATTCTTCACTCTCAGCATGGTGATGTGTGGAAGAACCACCTATGATGAACCCAATCATGTGACTGTCCAAGGCAATAAAAAATTAACACCTGGCCTCCAACTTTATACCCGCTGGTCAAATTACCATGTATGTGGGCATCTAAAGAATCTGGCACAACTGTTACAAATCACCCAAGAACTCGGGAGCCTGACATGTCCACCTGGAACAATGATACAGGACTGAAAACCAATCAGATCAGCAACAATGCAAGCCCCCAAAGGCAACACACTCTAATAGCATCTCCTCCTCCCCCGATGCACTGACATTATGTGTCAATTAAGAGAAGTACATGCTAAGGGTAGGGGAACACTGAAAAATACAGCAACACCAGGTTTCCACACAAAGACCTAAGCAGCACAAGAGACCTCTGTCAGGACTGTGCACTCTGATCACAAAAATTGGATTCACATCAAGATGGTGTTTCCAATAAGCAGAGGAGAGGAAGCAAATGATGCTGTAAAAATTTGTGCCCCACGCCACATGAGAAACTTCCAAATAAATTGGACAAAAAAGCAAACTTAAAAAGCTCAAACAGGGGGGGCTGGGGTTGTGGCTCAGTAGTAGAGCACTGGCTAGCACATGCAAGGCCCTGGGTTCCATCCTCAGCACCACATAAAAATAAAGTTGTGTCCAACTTAAAAAAAAAAAAAACTCAAAGAGGGCAGAGGTAGAGTTTAGTGGTAGAGTGCTTACCTAGCATGTGCAAAGCCCTGGGTTCAATCCTCAGCACCACATAAAAATAAATAAAATAAAATAAAGGTATTCGTCCAACTACAACTAAAAAAATTTTTTTTAAATCTTTAAACAAACAAACAAACAAAAATCTCAAATAGGGTCAGGTGCAGTAGCACAGGCCTGTAATCCCCAGGACACTGAGCCAGCAAATTCAAGGCCAAGCTCAGCAACTTGGACCCTAAGCAACTTAGCAAGACCCTGTATCAAAAAAGTTTCTGGGGGTTTAGCTCAGTCATAAAGTACCCCTGAATTCAATTCCCAACTTAAGAGAAAAAAAAATTCAAAAACATGAAAGTAGTTTACATGGAAAAAAATCCAAAACCAAAATAAAGACAGAGGCTGGGGTGCGGCTCAGTGGTAGCACGTCTGCTTGGTATGCATGAGTTCTTGGGTTCAATCCACAGCACTACCCAAAAAAAACAAACAAAAAAAAAAAACCCACATAAAACTTGTTTTTGAACTATATAGCTTCTGGAAAAAGACCCTACATAAAAAGAGTAGATAAATGTTGGACTGAAATAGATATTTCAACATTAATATCCAGAATAGCACTCCCAAAAAACAAATAAGAGAAGACTAAATAATATAGAATTCACAAACAAAATGTGAACTACTGTAAACATATTTTTTTGTCCCTCAGACTTACAAAGCTTAAGGAGACCACTACAAACTGCAGGGAAGGAGAACTTAGCACTTGAGTGGCTACACATGTTAAAAGAATTTGCTATTACCAGATGTTTAGCCTACTCATGGGTTAATCCTATGGTTTCTCATTGAACCTAAAGAAAAATCAAAATGCACTAAAAGTGAATGTTGAGAGTCAGGATGGCTCACGGCATTTTATCAGAAGGAGTGGTTGAGAGGTGACTATCAGAAGGAGTGGTTGAGAGGTGACGCTAGCGAGCCATTAAGATGATAATTAAGGGGGCTGGGGATGTGGCTCAAGCGGTAGCCCGCTCGCCTGGCATGCGCCTGGCATGCGTGTGGCCCGGGTTCGATCCTCAGCACCACATACCAACAAAGATGTTGTGTCTGCCGAGAACTAAAAAATAAATATTAAAAATCCTCTCTCTCTCTCTCCCCTCTTACTCTATCTTTAAAAAAAAAAAAAAAAGATGATAATTAAGTTAAGCAGTGTATAATTGCTGTGACTGGATGATGCAGGATTGAAACAGGCTGTATATTCAGTTGTATATGGACCCCTGCTGTCCAGCAATAGGGTGGGCCCCTGCTGCCTAGTTCCCATTGAGAGTTGCCAGGAAATGCACGTGGAGTTCCTGTTTGAACCTACAAGTGCCTTGTGGTGGCTCGGTTATTTTGTGCCCAGCCAGACTGCGGCAAATGAATACTATGAAGGTTTTTGGAATAACCTGAATCCCCATCTGGAAAACTGAAATGGGGACTACACTGATCCTGTTAAAAGGAATGGTAGGATCTGTGTTGAGCATAACATCCCCCAAATGTGAATGTCTGTGCACACACATGTAAACACACTGAAACTCCTGGCTGGGGACAAACCAGAAGCACCAGTGACTGCTTACAGCTGACAGCGAGTGGAATAGATGGGAGACCTTATCCATTCAAAAGGCAAACCTGTACCTATGTACCACCCATTAGCAACAGGTTCACCTTGAACAATCAGAGCACTGTTGACTGGGGACAGAGGAAATGTGGAGCTTGATTCTCCAATCAGACCTCCCCCTGGGGTCTCACAGTCTCTACTCTTTTCTTTCTAAAACACCAGTTTCTAACTAACCAGTGGACGCATCCCCTGTGAGAACTCCCATGTGCCTGGTTCTCACCTGGAAAGGTGTCTTGAAGAATTCCTCTTTCCTCTGGCCAGAAGTCTTCTGCCACCTCTAACTGAGATACCACATGTGGCTTGGAAAGCTGATGTTCTGCTCGAGGAAAAAGAGAAGGCTTGGGGCAGGGTCGGTTTGGGAGAAAACACTGTCCCAGCCTTCTCCCCTTCTAACACATGACATGACTTTGGGTTTAGGGCAATGACAACCACATCCTTCCCTTTTGTCAGAGTTTTTCTGAACTCCCTTGCCCACAGAGGTGGCGGGAGTCAGGGTGAAGGCTGGCCAGCAAGACAAAGGGAGCTGGGGGACCTTCAGGGGAAGCTTGAACCCAGACACGCACCCTGGGGCCATAGTCACCTGATGACTAGGAGGAAAAGTTAAAAGAACCACAGAAATGGAAGGAATCAAGATCTTTAATGATGCATGTTCCAGAGCTGTTGTATATTAACGTGTCATTGTTAAAT